AAATTAATTTTCTACCAAAGACTCTATAGAAAATCACTGCAATAGAACAACATATAATGACATATTTCCATCGTGCTAATAAAACATTATGCTTTTACATGTGCCAATTACTTTCGTCGATCTTCCAGTTTAGATTTCCATATAGAGTTTTACAATCGGCTCAGTACTGTGTCAATATTGGTTGTCGGAATTCCAGTACTGGCGCAACACTGGAAAAACTATTGGCGCAGTACTGGTGGATAACCGGATGATAACTTCGGCCCAGTACTGGCAAATAGTACTGGCCCAACCGTTGTTAGCCAGTACTTCCCCATAATTGGCAGTACAATCGGTTCAGTACTTAAACAGTATTGGTCGTCAGATTTGTAATACCGTGAGAAAATCATAATATTATACAAAAATATATTTATAATTTTTAATTTTCTTATAAAGCGCTAGGAACCAAAGATTGTTAACAATACGCTCCAAACTTTCACGAATCTTCCTTTCGATAATTTCGACCCCAAGAGGTCATTCATCCATGTCCTGACTGCGTTGAAGTGTTGCTTAACCTGACGATCGAACGGCATGCGGTGATTCCAATGACTCCAGCGATGTTCTTACGATTTATGCTTATATAATTTATTCTTATTGTGTTCACAGTATATTATAATATACAGTTATATAACTTGTATTTAGTGTTTGTTGCATAATTTGTTAATAGATATTGAAGCAACAACATTCGATATGCAATGGATATTGATATAATATAGTAAAGCAGTGATAATTACTTTTAGATTTTTAACAGAATGTTATAATGATTAATCCAAACAAAAAAATAAAAAGATTCAAGAAAATCCAAATCAAACAAATTGAATTATTAAATTTTGAAAGAAACTTTTAAAGAATACTATTTAAAACAATAGTGTTGTTTCATCAAATGGCATGGTTTCCTATTTCAAATGTCCATATTTCCTGACATTGACGAAATAAAAGTTTTTTATTTTCATCATTTTAAAAAATGATATTTCGTTTAAGAATATAATATTTTAATGAAACAAACCAAAATTAAATAAGTACGAATATTAAATAAAAAAAATATTTTTCTTCGAAAGAACGGTATAAGAAATATAAGACATATGTAATTAAACGAATTCTAGCCAAAAAAAGAATTAATGATTGCCACTAACAAGTACTATTCTAAGTACTATTCTATTTGCCAGTAATGGCTAAATACTGGCTAACAAAGGTCCGTTCGACGATTGGGTGCCATACCATTGGCCGAGCGTCGGCGTTCGGCAGTCTTTCATTTGCTAATAATGGCTGAATACTGGCTAACAGAAGTCCGGTCAACGGTTAGCCGCCAAGCGTCGGCCAAGCGTTGGTTGCCGAAGGCCTTCGGCAGTCATTTGCCAGCATCGGCTGACAGAATTCTGGCCGATAGTTAGATGCCATAGCTTCGGCCAATCGTTGGCTTCGTTGTTACTATTGGCCACCCTACATGGGATGTGTCATTAGTATTTGCTATTTTGAAACACGAAATATTTACCTAGAACCCTGCGCTATGTCGATAATTTGTTAAGGCTCTGGAGTAGTCCTTTGATAACGTCAAAAGCGAGAAATCACATGCTAAAAGTTTATGCGTTATACATTTAAGTAAAAAAATATCTGTAATACAATGCATGTGATTAATTCAATAAATGTGCGAAATTGCCGAAAACGTTCCTTTTGTTGTAACAATCAATAAATAGCCGTAAGATCGAACGTAATAGGAAAACCGAAAAAAGATAGGTTAGGTTAAAAAGTGAGTTGTATGAAGCACTACTTTTACGGCTATTTATTACTTGTTACAGGGAAAGGAAAGTGTTCGAACAATTTTAAAAATTTACTGAATCCATTACATACGTTGTTTTATGTTATATTAGATTATGTTACATTGTTTTATGGATATATCATGGATATATTTTATGGATATATCATTTTATCTAAATGTATAATGCAATAAATTTTGGTATGCAATAAATTATGATTCCTCGCTTGTAACGTTATCAATCAAGGACAGAGAAGACGACAATGCCTGAGTCTTAAAGTAGTCAATACGTTTATACAGATTCTTGATCAAATTACAGATGCCAATTTTCGGTTAAACATTAGGCTTTGTCGTAATGTCGTATTATTCTTTATAGATAGGCAGCCAATTATTTGCCAGTACTAGCCAAATTTGAGTGGACAGAATTTTGGCTGTAGCACGGTTATCAACTTTGCTTGGGCGTTGTTTTTTGTTCTAATGCCAAAGTTTTCTGTATATGTAATCAGCCAGTTCGTTGCCAGTGCTGAATAAGCACTGAATGACAGAATTTCGGCCCAAGTACGGATATCAAGGTTTGGCCAAGATCTCATCCTCCTTGTATCGCCGGAGTGCTCTATGAGCTAAGGCAACCAATTATTTGCCAGTACTGGGCAGTGCTGGCTGACAAAACTCTGTCCGCCAGTCGAGCGCCAGAACTACGGCTAAGCTCTGGCGTCATTGTCAGCTCTGGCGGCCCCTATATGAGTTGTAATAAATTTTATCAAAATTTTATCAAAATCAAAGCATGATATATTTTCAAATAAACCATCAAAAATTCTGTAAAAGTTATTTACATGGCGAAACCAATATTTTATTCGGTACTCTTGCCTTCAGTACTTATTGCATGACAATTAAATTGTTCAGATTTAATGACATAATGACATTAAAATAATAATAATAATAATAATATGAGAAATTGTATGAAAAATTATAAGGACAATTTTTACCAGGGATAGCATATGTACGCCTTTAAATAACTATTTAAACTGGCCATTTAACCGTTGTACTATTCTATACTTGTATTAGTTATTATTTTGTATCGTTTATTTCTCTATTATTTTTACTTTTTTATAAGAAATGTATAATACAATTTTAAAAAGTAAAAATTATTTTTTATTGTGTTCAATTATTGCACAATATAATTATCTTGACTCTTCTTGAAGTTTTACATGATGTGCATATGAAACTACTCCATTTAATAGCGTACATATGGCTCTTGATAGAATTAAACAGCCTATCTATGAAACAGAATCTGTGCGCAATTGGCCGCCAATCTGTCATCAAAGATTGTCGTCAGGCTCTGCGCGCAGTCTGTTACCAATCTTTCATCGGAGACTAATAAAACAGTTTCTGTGTGCAATCTGTTGCCATTCTGTCAGCAGACACTGTTGACAGACTCTGTGCAAAATCTGCCCGCGCAGGTTTGGCTATCTGGATAAAAGAGAATTTTACCAACGTTTAACTTTCGGAGCTACCAACTGCATGAATAGCTTGATTTCTTTTATAAGTTCTTCCAAATTGATAAATTCTATTCCATTAAATTTAGCAAACGGATGTGCAAAAGTTTCTTGGCTTACATAGAAAGGTATAAAATATAAAGTTGGTTTTTGTGTTGTATTAAATCGTAAAATAGATAACATTCCTCTGTTTGGTATAATAGAATTAATTCTTATTAATGAGAAAAAAAAGTTTATTTTATTTGTAAGGTTCTATTAACTGTCAAATTTGATGAAATGTTCTATGCATAGAGCTCAATGTATGAAATAGAAGAAACCTGCAATTTGAAATGTGAAGAAATTGATAATCTCGCAAGTCTTTGGCCATGTATGTAAATTAAATTTCCAGATGGACGCATTCTAATTACACCAAAATATATTTTATAACTGATATATATATATATATATATATATATATATATATATATATATATATATATATATA